CATGTCTCATACCTATCGCAATTTTCAGAAGAAATACAACATGAGATTTAATATAATTGCTGGTCTGGTAAATCTCAAACATGAGTTTTAATTGATCCTGCTGTTGACCTAACTCATGCTTCAATTAATTCCATACCGTTTCGCAGTAGGTCTTCTAAAGGCTTGATATACCTTTCAATTCCATTTCACGATAGATTTTTTGTTTAGAAAAACTTGAAGTAGGTATACTTTTTCTTTCTTATCTATTTAATTTATCTTTAGCTTATACTAAACCAACTGGTTCTGTTTTTGAAATAGATGCCTACTGAACTGCACACTGTTGATTACCACAGCATTGATTTATTGCTATATCAACAAGACACCCCGCTATACCACCTATTACAGCACCAGCAATTCCTGACAGCACGGCTGTTGCAATTACTCCAATAGCAGTAATCTCAGGTATAATTCCCATTGTAGCAAGTGCGGCACCTATAGCCCCAAACAATAACGCTGGAACTATAATTATCCATCTCCTTTCTGTTTTATCGCAAAATTCAGGGTCAGCACCTGCTTCCAATAGTAATTCTTTTAATTCAATATTATGATCAATTTTCTCATGATCGCTATAATCAATAGACTTTAACATCCTACTCTTTTGTCTGTTGGACATGTATGGTAAGAGCATTTCTACTGTACTCCGGCTATATTTTGTAATACTATCAATGATTAACTTTTCTGCTTTAGGATCTGCATCGATTTTAGCACCATGTTCAAGGAGCACCTTAGCAACATCATTTTTGTTATCCATTAAAACGAAATAAAGTATGCGGGCATCAAGTTCTGCTCCATACTTTAAAAGTATATTTACGATATCAAGATCGCCTAGTTCACACGCAAGATTCAAAGGAGGACCTTCAAGCATACTAATAACATTCAGATTTATTAGGTTAACTCCATACTTTGATAAAACTCCTTCCAGAAGCTCTATCCAACCGGACTTAGGATTATTACAAGAATTTTTTACAATATAGTGCAGTATTGATTTTCCAGGAAATCTGTCAGCATTGATGGTCTGTGCATTGATGTCTTGAACTTGCTCCAACAGAATTTTTGTTTGATCTAGGTCTTTATTGCTAAGAGCCTCAAATAAATCGATTTCTTTTTCACTTAAATGTACACCGTAGAATAAGCTTTTAGCAATCTTAGACATTCTATTCAATATTTTATCTAACTCTTCATCTATCTCTTTTTTACTCTTGCCTGTTAATATTTGATATGCTGCTATTATTTCCTGAGACTTTTCCGTTGCTATCTTTTTCTCTTCTTCGCTTTTATTTGTCCGTTTATCAGGGTGCCATTGAGTTATAAGTTTACGATATGCTTGCTTAATTTCTGTTTCGTTTGCGCTCTTTGGTAACTCTAATACTTCAAATGCCTGTTTACGTGTCGTTGG